ATGTGGTGTTGGAGCAAGAACAAAGTTCAGCACCCATTAAAAGCCTGGAGAAGCCGTTGAAGAAACAAGGTTGGTTCATCTGTCGATGGTGAACTTATTTCGAGCTCTAATACAGGGGTGAAGCTGTGGTTTGAGGGTGAGAAAGAAGACTGGGAGCAGAGAATGGTGATCTCAATGAGCAAAGCAATACAAAATTGGAGGAAGGTCCTAAACTCAGTGGTACACAACTTGAAGCTGGAGTCCAAGGTTGCTCTGAAACCATTCTCAGACAGGAAGGCAGTGTTGAGAACTGACGATGAAAAAATCAGGGGATTTACATCTTTTGAATGTGAAGAAGGTTTGATTCAGATTCAAAACTGGAAACCGTTGTGTAATGAGATGGAACATGTCTATGGAAGTTTCCTGCTGAAATCGGTAGGTCTTCCCTTCCATCTCTGGAGTGAAGGAAATCTGGGAAATATTGTGAAACTGCTGGGCAGAGAAATGGAGGAAGTCCATCTGCAAGATTTTCGTGCCGCTGTGGTTAGGATGGTCGGGGTGAGACCGGAATTGCTCCCAAGAACAATAGAGGTTCTTGCTGAAGGTACATGGTTTAAAGTATGGTTGGTTTCAGAGGTGGAGGCAGAGCTGTGGGGACGAAGACCCAAGGTAGAAGACGATGCTGATGTGGAGGGTTGGACTACTAGGGGTCTACAGCTGGAGGGTAAGACTGAACATAGGGGGCAGCTTAGAAAGGATGCTGAAAAGTTGGTGGGGGAGAACCAAAAGCCACGAAATCTATTAAAAGAAATAAATTCAAAATTTTTTGAATTAGCTGGTAATTCGAAGGGACAAGACACCTTCGTGACGTGGTTAAGAAAGGGAGATTTTTGCAGGTCGGGTCATCTGAACCGGTGGGTGGACCGATCAGCTCAGCCAGAAGGGGGAATCCCTACCCACATGATTGTTTAAGTGAGCACGTGGGTCGGGGGAGACGGTTGGGGACTATAGACGATAGATATCGTCTATCTTCTTCGAAAATTTTGGACGAGGGCGTTGTAGGTGATCTCAGACAGTCAGAGCAAAGCTCAAGTACTCTCCAGTGGGTGCCTCGCGCAGTTCCTGAAACACCTAGGGAGGGACGAACATCACAAGACGGACGAAACCCCATGTACGATTGAGCTCATCTCGAGGAAAATGATGGTTTTGACGAGGGCTGGGTGGACTACGAAATGGAGGAAGAAGACGTGGAAGAAGTTTTGGATAGCCAGTCCAGTTTAGGCAGTGTTTTTGGTGAGAAGTTTTCAGAGGAAGAAGCTGCTACAAGTTTTGATCTAGATGCATTGTTCTTTTAAAGACTAGGTGCGGTAACGTCTCACTGTGCTGAGGAAGAGCCGTAGATTGTTGTCGCTGAACACATTTCGAACTCTGGGGATGGAAACTCTAACTCACACTCAGAAGCTACATCTCAAAATCTCCTTGCCAAACAGGTTTTTTGTAAGGGATCCCTCAAGACTTCTCAAAAGCAATATGAGGACATAGTGGGGAGGCATAAACAGGTGGGTAAGAGTTGTGATCTCTGTTTAACAGAGGTGACGGAAAGGCTAACTAATCAGAACCGAGCCTTGGAACCAGATGGAACCAACATTCCTTATCGGGGCTAGACTGTTTTTGTATCCAACTCCAGCACTCCCAATCTTCCCCACCACAACCCAAGTAACCGTGTCCTTTTGTTTTGTGATACTAACTGTTGCTTTTTGATTTTCGTGCCAAATACATATCCCAACCCAGAGGCTGCAGCCCTTGAAGGAGGGGATGGGGTGAGAGAAAATAGAAGTGACAGGGAGGGTCAGGAGAGAGAGAAGTAGGGAATGAAGGAGAAACAGAAAAAAAAAAGAAAATAATCCTAGAAATCTTAGAGTGACTGTTAAATGAATTAGTGACGGAAAACAGCCAGGAAGGGTCAGAGGGAGTTAGAGTAGAGGGTTCTGAGGAGGAAGAAGATAGAATGGGGGAGACAACAACAGGGGAGAGAAGTAGAAATTTCAAGTGTAAGAGATGTAATTAGTGAGGATTTTGTGGCGGGTTTTGTACAAAAACTGGGGTGAAAATTGAAAGATCCAAATGCTCTCAAAGTATTTTTGAAAACAAAGAAAGAAGAAGCAAAATCTAAAAGGAAAAGAGTGAGTGAGGCTGAAAGGCTGTTAAAGGAGGTGGGAGGAGATATAATGTTTGAAGGTTAAAGGAGAAAGAAGGAAGAGGAATAACTGAGGGCAGGAGGGTCTAAGGGGAAAGAAGATAGTTAGATGAGGATCTTAAGCTAGAATGTCAGAGGTTTGGGAAGTGCTAGGAAGAGAGCAGTAATAAAAGAGGCCATCAAGAAAACAGACCCAGATGTGGTACTTTTGCAAGAGACCAAGAGAGCAG